CAATAAAAACAGACTGGAATAATGACAACAGAGTGGAAGAAGCTAAAGGGGCAGGATTAACAGAGCAAGGAAGAAAATAGACAACGACCAATAAAAACAGACTGGAATAATGACAATAGAGTGGAAGAAGTTAAAAGGGCAGGATTAATGTAGGAAGAGATGGAGGGATACTGACCTTCTGGTGGTGGGTTTAGAACAATGGTATTATAAGCCTATACCATCAACATTAATACTATTGTAAATCAAGATAGCTCAAAACAAAACTCTCATGAAAAAAAATTAGGTTTGGAGAGAAAGAACAGGGATTAAGGTGCTTGCTTTGCATGCATCCAACCCTGCTCTGAGCCCTGCCATCTGATACACATCATCCTGGCCCCCACCCTACCCCTCACCCAGCACTACCAAGAGTAGTCCCTGAACAAAGAGCCAGCAGAATGCCCTAAGCACTGCTGGGAGTGGCCTGAAAATCACTGTATCACTGTCCTCCCGTTGTTCATCTATTTGCTCGAGCGGGCCCAGCAACGTCTCCATTGGAGACTTTGTTGTTACTGTGTTTGGCATATGGAATACGTCACGGGGAGCTTGCCAGGCTCTGCCGTGCGGGCAAGATACTCTTGGTAGCTTGCTGGGCTCTACGAGAGGGGCAGAGGAATCGAACTCGGGTTTGCCATGTTGGCTGCGTGAAAGGCAAACGCCCTACCACTGTGCTATTGCTCCAGCTAGGCCTGAAATTATCCAAAATAAAGAAAAAAAAACAATGTTTAGTATTTTAGTGTCAAATTTTCTCAATAAAGAAGAGGTTGTATCTCATCTCTCTCAGGTTGATGAAAACTTCCAAACGATGAATTTAGACACTTAAAAACCAGCACTACCAAACCATTTTTGTTCAGTAAGTGAGTTAAATTTTAAGCAAATTTTATTGTCAAATAATGTACGAAATACATTGTACATGAAAACAAAACCTGGACAGCCATGAAAAAAAATGGCTCCTCAGTCTGGAGATAGAGGAAAAGAATATTTGCTTTGCAAATGTGGGGTCATGAGTTTGTTCCCTAGTGCCAACACTATGGAATCTTCACCCCTTTTCACATTCAAAAGCGAGAAGTTGCAGAGAACAGGAAAGGGAGGGAGGGAGGAGGCAGCATGGATTGTGAGGGACTTCTGTCCTTTCTAGAAGGTGGACAGGAAGTCACAGAGATGGCAGGGAGACTTGATCAGGGCAGAAGCAGAGAGAGAGATGCAAAGGCCCTGGGCTGCAGGTGACATTGGGTGATGGAAGAGTAACATTCATGCAGTCACCATGAAGATTCATCCTTGAAGATTGGAGTGGGGAGTGGAGACAAGACGTCGAAGGGGCAAGTGGAATGGGATAAGGGTGCTAGAAAACACTTCCTGTGGTACCTCTGAGACGACTAGAAATTATTTGGTTTTTTCCTTGGAATAAGATAGGAAGATCTTTCCACCCTTCTTTCGTCATGATGGGGGCTGAGTGCATATGATTAGCTGCAGAGTTTGTGCACTTGCTGGATAGAGGTTGTGCTCACTTAGCTGTAGTGCTTGTACAGACTGATTATAGTACTCCCTGGCTCGTGCACGGGGTGGCCAGAGACTACTCCTGGATACAGTGCTCATACGTCTTTCATAGTTGTGGGGCTTTCAGGGGTCACACACTTCAGTTGCATGGCTTGCACACAGCTCACCCTGTGCTGGAGATTATGAACTCTGTATGGCACTGGGGGTTACCAGGCAGCAGAGCAGCAACATGAGGTGGCCCTGGGGACCAAACCCATGGTCTCTGGCTTGCGAGGCGTGCTCTTCGACCCACTCAGCCATCTCTCAGACCAAAGAAGGAGGGTTTTGGGCAGAGCAGACCTGTTGAGAACAGATTTTAGGATGGGCAGCTATGAAAATAGACTCAGCTAAGTCTCAGAGGAATGAACGAATGACTGAATGGAAGCCAATTGAGCACAGCAAAAGAACTCATTCTGGTGTGAGTCCCAGGGCTGTGTAGACACCTCTTCACATACTGATTACTCTTGCTTTTGAAAAAAGAGCTGTGCTGGGCGGGAGGGGGGAGCGGGAAGATCCTGTGGGGGTGAGGGCACATGCTTATTTGCCTGAGCCTGACCCTGGTTTAATCCCTGGTGTCGCCTCAGAGCAAACCCACCTGTATGTGCATGAAGCACAGATCCAAACCATCTTCCTTGTTCTCACCCTTTAACCACATGCTCTGTGGGCGTAGCTCTGAAGGCAGAAGAGGAAGCACAGGGCAGAAGCCCGTGCTGGAAACGGAACATTCGAGTCCCCTGCCCTGTTCATGAACGGATGGATACGCCAGAGTGAGGGAATTTGGAGATGGGCACTTGGAAGTTGATCAGGACCTGCAAGTGGCATCCTTAGGCATGTGATATGGACCCCTTGATTAAAGAGATTCCTGCAGAACCTTCTAAATGCTTCTGCCCTGGACTGTAGCCAAAGCCATTTCTGAATGAAGAAGCGAGTTTTTTCTTTCCTTTTTGGGAGGAGTTCCACACCTGGCAGTGCTAAAGGTTTACACCTGGCTCTGTGCTCAGGGATCACCTCTGATGGTGTCCTGGGGACCCAAGCACTGATCCTGGCATCAACCCAGGTCGGTCCTGTGCAAGGCAAGCATCTTGCCCAAGGTACTATTTCTCCAGCCCCAGGAAGCCAGTTTTCATCAGCGAGCTGGCACTGGGAGCGCTGATCTTGAACTGTTAGGCCTCTAGCACTCTACCACTGTAGCACTGTCCTCCCATTGTTCATCGATTTGCTCGAGCAGACATCAGGAATGTCTCCATTGTGAGACTTTTTGTTATTGTGTTTGGCATATCAAATACGCTACGGGGAGCTTGCCAGGCTTTGCCATACAGGCGAGATACTCTTGGTAGCTTGTCGGGCTCTCTAAGAGGGATGGAGGAATCAAACCCGGGTCAGCCACGTGCAAGGCAAACACTGTGCTATTGCTCCAGCCCAGAAAAGCATTACCAAAAGTTGCTGAGCTCCCGTCTCTTTGGTATTCTGTTCTAAAAGGTCAAGAGGACTCAGACCTCAGCATCCACAAGACACTGTCACTGTCCTCCCGTTGTTCATCGACATCGATTTGCTTGAGAGGGCCCAGTAACATTGTGAGACTTGTTACTGTGTTTGACATATCGGATATGTCACAGGTAGCTAGCCAGGCTTTGCCGCTGTGTGGGCGGGATACTCTCAGTAGCTTGCTGGGCTCTCCGAGAGGGGCAGAGGAATCGAACTCGAGTCAGCCCAGTCACGTCTCCATTGTGACAATTGTTACTGTGTTTTGATATATTGAATACATCACGTGTAGCTTGCCAGGCTTTGCCGTGCAGGTGAGATACTCTCGGTAGCTTGCTGGGCCCTCTGTGGGGGCGGAGGAATCAAAAGTGGAGGAATCGAACTTGGATTGGCCTGGTCTGTGTGCAAGGCAAATGCCCTATCTGCTGTGCTACAGCTCCAGTCCCTACAAGACACACTTCTTTACAATTCTCTAGGCTTAGGAAAAAAACTAGGATGTGACATTTTGGGGATTAACAGATCGCAGGAGGCTGAGTAGTCCACTTAAAGGTGTAGGGGCTGATTATCTTAATTTTCCAGCATCATATTGTTAGATTTAGACTTAAGGAAAAAAACAAATAGGCGTTTGTGCAGTGTACAGAGAATTCATGATTAGTCATAGAGTTTTCCATTTAAGATGCATGTGGAAAGCTAAGCTCTAATTACACTTAATTATCACTGTTTCAACAATTTTTGTAAAAATAGTCTAGAGGTTTTTTTTTTTCAATGCAACTTGATTTTTCCTCTCATTCTCATTTCTGTAGATACTGAGATTTTCAAAGCTCAAGTCCTTAAGAAAGGAAAGAAAATTGATTTCCTCACCTAGATTTACCCATCAAATTCAGATCTGGAATTCTGTTACTGACACATCTGTAAATCAGTTTTACATAGCAGTTTTGTTTTCAGTATAGAGCATTAATCACTCAGCTAATTGGGGATCATGAACCCTTTGTGAAAGTTCACAAATGCACAGTCACATAAATATGCAATAGAAATTTAAGAGTCCACAAACTGCCTGAAATATATTCAGGGAACTGTGAAGAGGACACTCATTCTACTACCTCTGCATTCAAGTCCATTGTCAATTGGTACTAATTTATGTGAAATAGCATTCATGTAAACAGAGAATTGTGCATTTTCCTCAGAATTTTTGCTTCTTTTTTTTTTTTTTTTTTCGCTTTTTGGGTCACACCGTGCGATGCACAGGAGTTACTCCTGGTTCATGCACTCAGGAATTACTCCTGGTGGTGCTCACGGGACCATATGGGATGCTGGGAATCACACCTGGGTCGGCTGCGTGCAAGGCACACACCCTACCTGCTGTGCTATTGTTCCAGCCCTCCCCCAGAATTTTAAATATGTAAAAAATATATATAATTTTATGTCTGTGATTATGTTTTAAGGAAGGTAATTTTTCTTACTTAATGAGAGATAACTTGATTTTAAAGAAGAGAGATAACTTAATATCTTTTTTTTTTTACTAATCCAGGCAGAATAGAAGGTGTTTATATTTTTCTGATTTCTCATTCTATATACCATGATTTCGATTTTCTAGGAACTAAGATAAAAAAAATTGGTCTGGACATTCACTTTGGTCAAATAACACTTTTTCTTTCTGTGGATGGAATTAGGCTATAGTTTGCTACACCAAATTAAATCAAAGACTTCCAGATAATGAGATATAATCCTTTGAACCTTTTGGTGAATGATATATTTTTTTAGGTGGGGTTTTAATATCCATAATTAAATTTTCTTTTCCTTGTGAGGTTGCCAACAATCATCCTTAATTAGATTTTTAAAAAATCTGTTTTTAGGCTCAAAAACGAAATGCATTATGTAGAGTGTGCTTGCTCCCCTGACTTCAGAGGACAGTGGATGGAAGTCTGTGGACCCCATGCTGGTCTTACTTGCTTGGATCTGCTCCTTTAAAGTAGGCATTGACTGTCTCTGTAAATGCTGCTGCAACAGGGAGAGTGTCCTGGGCCCCCATAGTTAGGGGACTTGGTCCCCTGGAAGAACCTGCAAGAAATGAAAATTTTCACTTATTATGTGCATAGAAAAGAGCTTCTGTGGAACTAAAAGTCCATTCAAGAATTAAAGGTAGAACGCTATGAAACAAAAATGAATATACTAAGAACTACAACTGTCCACTCCACATAGAGCTCAAGTATTTAAAAGCAAATATTTGGCTGGTTTACAGACAGACACACTTGATATTATTTCAACTATGTAGTTTACTACAGAAAAAATCCAAGCAGAAGAATAAAGTCATGGGAACTTTTTGATTTTTTTCTTTTGTATAAAGTTTTAGGCAGTATTTGCATGACAGTTTGTACAGCAGGTAGTTAATTAAGAATTGATGAGTTTCCTATCTCAGCTAGTTGCCAAAACAATTGCTAATAGTTAAATATTTTTGCATTTGTTTTTCAGTTTTAAGTCACAGGAGACTATGTTATTATACACTGTCCATTTTTCTGTATTATTTCTATTTCAGAAACACAATTACCCTCTGATTAGCTTTAAGATGAACACATTCAAAATCAGATGCATCCAAAATGTGACCTTGACTTAGGAGAAACCCAAAATGCACCGATTTGCAATGTCAACAACTAAAGTAAACTTATGCTTGTTGAACACTGTCTATGTACCCCGAGCTGACATGGGAACCTTACGAGAATGATCTCATTAAACCCCACATGAGACCTGATGTTTAAACATGACTGTTCCCACTGGCAGAAGAGAAAATTGAAGTTCAACAACATTAAGTGACTTTCCAAATACAGTAGAATACAGGTCATTAAATGGCAAAACTAAAACTCAAACCTTATTTGTAACCCTCTGAAGCTTATGTTTTGTTTTTTGTTTTTAATATTACACAATCTCATCCCATACTATAATGTCTACATGAGACATTATATGATTTTCATATAACTTGAGGATTCTGAAAGAAGTGAAGTTTGAGATTGTTGTCTTTGTTATTAATTTCTAGACAGGCAATTACACAGTAAGGTAATTGCAAAGCATTTAATTAATCACATGCTCACTGCCTTTTCTTCCTACAAACAAAACTCATTTACTCTTTCCCACCACATCAGAGAACAGGCCATTCTTTCAGTAACATCTTTCTTGCACTACAGCAATAAAAGAAACCCCCCAGAACAAACTGCTATTTCTATGTCCCCATTTTTAATAATTCTAGTCCACAGTGTCTCTTTATATATTCTCTAGATTTTCAATATTTTTTGAGATATCATTTGTTGTCACAACTCTGCATGATTTCAGGGGTACAATTTCATTGTTCTTCAAAGTTCATTTTACCATACCACAGCCACCACCTAGCTATCAGTAGACTTGAACATGGTAACATATCATTACCCTAACACAATCATTTGTTTATTATCATGCACTGTGACAGGTGCTCAGAATCTAAAAGTAATCCTGTCCTCAAAAACTTCAGGGCTTCAGGTGGGTTTACCAGCGAGTTCTTCTACACATTTAAAGAAGACCTACTCCTACTCCTTTCCAAGTTCTTTCAGAAATTTGAAGAAATAGGGAATCTTCCAAACAGTTTTTAAGAGGCAAACATTTCCCTGATACCTAAGGCTGACAGAGACTGACAAAGAAAACTATAGACCTATATCCCTGATAAATATATATATATATACAAAGATACTTAACAAAATATCATATACCATGATTCATCATGGGGATACGGGAATGGTTTAACATATACAAGTCAATCAATGTAATACACCATACCATTACAAAGAAAAATAAAAATCATATGATCTTATCAATAGATGAAGAAAAAAACATTCAGCAATATCTCAACATCCATCATGATAAAAACTCTCAATAAAATGGAAGTTGAAGGAACTTTCCTCAACATAATTAAAGCTATTTACCACAAGCCTACAGCAAATATTGAACACAATGGTGAAAAAAATGAAAACTTTCTGTGTAAGATCAGGTAAATGACAAGGTTGCCCACTCTTAACACTATTATTCAATATAGTGTTGGAAGTCCTTGATATAGTAATTAGGCAAGAAAGGGCCAGAAGGATCACTCCACGGGTTGGAAGCCAGTCTCACATGCTGGGGCAAATGGCAGCTAGGATAGAGAAGGGACCACTAAGTAAATGATGGCTGGAGGGCTCACTTGGGATGGGAGAAGCATGATGAAAGTAGACTATGGACCAAACATGATGACCACTTAGTACCTGTATTGCAAACCATAATACCCAAAGTGAGAGAGAGAGAACATGAGGGAAATGTGCCTGCCACAGAGGCAGGGGGTAGGAAGGGTGGGGATGGCAGGAGGAATACTGGGAACATTGGTGGTGGAGGATGGGCACTGGGAGGGATGGGTATTCAATCGTTGTATGACTGAAATGTAATCATGAAAGTTTGTAAGTCTGCAACTGTATCTCATGGTGATTCATTAAAAATAAATAAAAAAGAAAAAGATATGAAGGACATTCAGATTGGAAAAGAAAATGTTTAACTTTCACTTTTTGTGGATGATGTGCTTATACTTTACTTAGAAAATCCTAAAAATACTACAAAGAAGATTCTAGAAAAAAACAGACTTGTATAGTAAGGGAGCAGGCTACAAGGTAACTCTCAGAAATCCATGGTCTTTCTACATACAAATAATGAAACAGAAGATAGAGAAATTGAAAAAAAAATCAAATAAACAATAATACCAGGTTTGTTCTCCAAGCCTATGTTCTTCCTTTAATATGTATCCCACTTGCTTGTCTTTGTTTCTTTGCTTAGTTATTTCTACTCTGGATCTCTCTTGAATCCATATTTCTTTCTCTCTCCTTACATCTTTCTCAATAAAAGTACATTATTTTAGCAAAAAAATCTAAAAATAAAAAAATACCATTCATAATCAAGATCCTGGGAATCAGCCTAACAAGAAAGGTGAAAAATTTATACAAAGACATCTATGTATTAAAAAGGAAAATATAAGTCACTACTGAAAGAAATAAAAGAGGACATGAGGAAGTGAAAACACTTTCCCTGTTCATTATTGGAAGGATAAACTTAGTCAAAATGACAATTTTACCCAAAGCATTATACAGATTCATTGCAATCCTTAAAAACATACTCATGCCTTTTTTATAAACATAAAATAAATGTTCTTAAAATACATATGGAGTAATAAACTCCCTGAATAGCCAAAGCAATTGTAGGGAAAAAAAGATGGAATGATTTTCTTTCCCCAACCTCAAACTATTCTATAAAATAGCTGTAATCAATTAGTGTGGTATGGAATAAGAACAGACTCCCAACTTCATGTATATATATGGACAGTTAATCTTTCATAAAAGAGCAAAGAAGTATGAAATGATCAAGGAAAGCTTCTTTAACAAATGGTGCTGGGATATCTGGTTAAAAGTGATCACATGCAAAAATAAATAAATAAATAAACAAACAAGTGGTGCTGGGATATCTGGTTAAAAGTGATCACATGCAAAAATAAATAAATAAATAAATAAATAAATGTAGACTCCTATCAACAAGCACATAAGTCAAGTAAAAAATGGATTAAAGACCCCTACATCAGTCCTGAATTCATAAATTATATTGAGTGAAACAGGTAGAACATTCCATGACATGGAAGCTAGAGGTGTCTTTAATGATTCAATGCCATTGACCAAGCCAACAGAAGTATAGATAAACAAATGGGAGTACCTCAAACTAAAGCTCCTGCACTGCAAAAAATGATGACCAGAACGAAAACACAGTCCACAGACTGGGAGAGAATATTTGCCCACCACTGATTGGATAAAAGGTTAATTTCCAACATACATAAAGCACTGGTAGAACTTTACAAGAAAAAGAACAACCAATCCCATAAAAATCTGGAAGGGGGGAAGATAAATGGAAACTTCCTTAAAGACATAACAGATAGCCCAAAGGTATATGTAAAAATACTCTACCTAACCTATTCATTGGGGAAATGCAAATCAAAACAGCAGTAAGATATCATCTTACACCAGAAAGACTGGGAAATATAACAACCAGTGTTGGAGAGGATGTGCTGCTGATGGGAATGACAACTGGTTCAGTCTTTTTGGAAAACAATAACAATATGGAAACTCCTCAAAATTCTAGAAATTCAGCCTCCATATAGCCCAGAAATACCAATTCAGGGCATACAACCCAAGGGTTCCAAAAGTCTTCTCAGAAAAAGTTTTTTTGCATTTCTATGTTCATTTTGCATTCCTATGTTCATTACAGCACTTTTAACAATTGCTAACATTTGGAAACAACCCATGAGACCAAGAATATACGACTAAAGAAAATATGGTACATATATACAATGAAATAATACATTATAATATCATGCAGCTTGCTGCTAAATGAAGGTATCTGCAGAGTACTCTGCTGAATGACGTTAGTCAGAAGGAGAGCTTCAGGCACAGATGTCTTTCATATGTAGGGCAAAAAGAAACAAAGCAGGAGAATAATAAATGCTTGAAAGCAACAGGAAGTGAGAATGGGTCTTTAATAGGAAGCCTGAAGGGAAGCGGGATGGTGGGACTGGGCCAATGGTAGAAGGAAGTGGACTCTTGGGGGAGGAAGTGGTGCTGGATTGTGTTATGCATGAAACCTTATCTTCAACATCTTATAAACCACAGTGTATACACACAAACACACACACACACACACACACACACACACACACACACACACCAAACGATATGTCTGGTTCAGGAAGGCAGGCTGGGAGATGGGAGGAACCCGAGTCATTGGTGGAGGGAAGGTAACACTAGTAAGGGGATTGGTGTTGGAACATTGTATGTCTGAAACTCAATTATTAAGTTTTGCAAATCATAGTGCCCACAAAATGTTTGTTGTTTCATTTTTAAAATAGTTCTGGAGTGATCAAGAAATGGGGACAGGAATGAACAGGCACTTCTCTGAAGAAGTCAGATGGATGGCCAATATGCACATTAAAAAGTGCTCAGCAAACCTTTTAAGGGAAATTCAAATAAAGACTACCG